CATTATTCTGTTCATCTCCACAGCAAGTCACACGCACACACGCTGCTCTGCGTGTATCTGTTTATATGCATTTGTGTGTGTGTGTGTGTGTGTGTGTGTGTGTGTGTGTGTGTGTGTGTGTGTGTGTGTGTGTGTGTGTCGTGGTGGTGGTGGCTTGTTTAATGCACTGCAGGTTGGCTCCTGCAGCAGGTCTGGCCAGATAAGAGCAGCACGCAGCTTTCTGCTGGGAGGGAGAGAGAGAAAGAGAGGAACATTTCTTCCTCACTCACATAAACCATTAAATTGTAATAATGGGGCCACCAGCGCTCAAACCTGGATCCGTAGCGCCCCCTGTGGGTGATTAGAGGAGTGACAGCACCAGTGGCAGGGGTCCTTGTTGGTGGTTGTGCTGTGTTTAGGCCCCCTGCTGCTGAATGAGGCATTTTGAATTTACAATGACTTGGGGTTGATTAGATGAAAGATGCAACAACTATTTTCTTTTGTAATGTTTGTGCATGAAGATGAGCAGCGAGTAGTGAGGGGAAGGAGAGGCCATTATGAGGAGGAAAAACTCCTCAGAGATGTTGGTTTTTTCCTCAGCATTTTTTTGTATGTGTTTTTCCTACCTTCTACGGTGGCCGATAGGGGCAAGCGTGCTACAACGCCCCAAACCCCTTACATTAGGATTTAAAAATCGATGCAAATTTAAAAACTCAAATGTGCCAAAACACATGCAAACGAAAAAACATCTATACCAACTTGACAACACATACACAGCATTTCAATAACATTTACCAACTTGACGAAACAGGTATTTGCATAGTTTTTGAAAGTGCAGTATGTTTTTCCTAATGTAGCCTAAGTGTATAAGGCCATTTGCCCCTGTCAGCCACCACACTTATGGAGTTGAAAGAGTTGAAACTAAAAAGTCAAATCTTTTGGAGGCTATAGCCAAACAAATTTAAAAGAGAGCGTGTTTGTGCTTGGAAAATTAAGGTTCAATAACTCAATATTGACATAGAATGTTTGTTAAGGCCCTGTTTGGAGCCACTGTCTTATGTCAGGAAGTACAAAACACCATCTTTGTGCAAATGACTTACTCAAGCCAGCACAGGGGGCTGCAAAGTATTAAACCCAGATTTGCTTGATGGTGGTCCACACACACTGCGTTTAAAGTGCAAGTGACGTGTGTGTGTGTGTTGTCCAAAGCCTGAGGCTGCACGACTATCAAATCTGAGTTTATCCCTGTGTCAACAGAGAAATACTGATTGTGGGGGACGGAGAAAGGGAAAGAAAACAGGGGTCTATTTGCATTAAATGAGTCAACATGTCAGTGTGAAAAGTACAATCCGTTCCTATTCTTACTCTCCGCCTCCACACACAAATATGGGACCTATTTTTAGCTATATCAGTTACACACCAACACAAAGAGACCCCCCACCTTTTTCTCTCTCCAGTTTGTTATCAATGGGAGCCCACTTGCTGCCAAACTCATCCACTGCACACAGAGCGAAGGCCAGGCCTGGTCAAGTTACTGAAGTGGCTCTACAGTGGGCAATTTTTCTCTCTTTACCTAAAGTGTCTGAATGTATGGCAGACAAATCAGAGCGCTGATCCAGCATGCACCTCATGTGTGCTGTGTGGAAAAGAGTCTAAGACACAACTGTGCACCCTCTGCCCACACAGCAGCTTGAGGGATTGACCTAAGAAAACAAAAAGGCTCTAAAAAAAGTTTGTCTAAACTTCTAAACTGATTCCTTTCACTCCACTGAAGTCTTGTACTAATTACCGTCACCTGTTGACACACACTCCAGTGTTAATGAGGAGTGTCAGTGCTGCCTTCAAAGACCTGCAGTGTGTATGGTGACCAGCAGCACCACACTTTAAACAAAACAACTCCTGCCAAAACATCAGAGGGTAATGTAACACCCTCTTGTAGGGAAGCTTCTCTCCTTTGATTATGTGTCACAGCTGACAACAAGGAGGCCTGTTTTGATATTTCCTTCTGTCTGTCTGTCGTTCACACAGCCAGCCAGCATGTTAGGCTAATTGGACACATGCACTGGAAGCTCTGTTGTGTTGTTCCTGGTTTGGCTTTCATTATGTATTCATGGTATCTGGTGTGCTTGTGAGGCAATGGCAGAGGAGCCAAAGTAAAAAAAAGTACTGAACTGAGTGAATCTTGATTTAGAAGAAGCGTCTTAAATTAAAGGTAGGGTAGGTAATTTTGGAGAAACCAGCTCGAGTGCGCTAGAATTTGAAAATACACAGCCGGAACAAATCTGCCACTTTCTTACAGAGCCCCTCCTCCAACACACACGAACGCGCACATGACCAATGAGGGCACGAGATAAGTTTGTGCACAGATGGAAAGCTGACAGGCAGGTAGGCCATCCAGTTATTTTAGCCGGGCCGGCTAAAATGATTGGTCGTGCTTTTTACAGTATTACGACTTCCACAGATGACATTTTATTTTATGGATTTTTTGTCAAAGCACTTAAGATATTCATTGCTATCGGGATGTTAAGAGCATTCCATGGAATATAACAAAAAGTGTATCTCGAGCCGGTTTCTCAAACTTACCTACCCCACCTTTAAGCTACAATGCTTGATTTGACATGTTATATGTTATGTAAATCTGGCACATTTCTGTTCAAAGCCACCTCTTTTTAACAGCTCTGCCACTTTGAATTCTTATAAATCTATCTATCTATCTATCTATCTATCTATCTATCCATCCATCTATCCATCTATCCATCTATCCATCTATCCATCTATCCATCTATCCATCTATCTATCCATCCATCCATCCATCCATCCATCCATCCATCCATCCATCCATCTATCCATCTATCCATCTATCCATCTATCCATCTATCCATCTATCCATCTATCTATCTATCTATCTATATTTTATTTTCTAAGTAAATTGTCATGTTCTTATTCTTGTACGTTGTATATTTCTTGTTAACTTTTTATTGATTTTCTTTCTTTATATTATAAAATGTATAATATTTTTTTAAATAGCTTTTAAAATAGTTCCTTATTTGCTCCTTTTTAACAACTTAATTCCTATTATTGTTTTTATTCCTACATGATTATACACCTAAGCAAATTTGTTGTAGTTGTAAACCTATTAAGCAATTAACCTGTTTCCTATTTTTGATTCTTACAGGTTAGTGCAGACAGAGCAATGTCAAGTGTACTGCTATCATTTCGATTTATTTTAAATATCTCCTGGCATTGTACTATGTTTTAATGTAATCTATTCTTCTCAGTGAGTACAAATCAGCTATTCATATTGTGAATAGATCATACAAATACCAAAATGTGTGCAGTGCGTGTGTAGTTGATCAAATGTCAACACTTTAGATGCAGAGATTTTGAATGACAAACTTTAGGTTATGATTTTATCCGATAATTGATATGCCGACACATGTAAGTGTAGTACTTTAGTTACATATGTTTTCTGATGTGACCATTTGTCATCCAGTCAGAAACTAACTTAATGTATTTTGTGGAGTAAATGTCACCCATTATTTTCTCTTGAGTATTATGCCAACCTCAGCTTCTTGTGTAAGTTGATCTGTATTAAGAAGAAAAGGCCATGCGACAATAAAGAGACCAACAATGTCTTTCATCTCTGGCCATCTCATCTTCTATCTCTGTCATTAAATGGTATTGTAAATAAATGTAAAGACACTCCTCTGATGCTTAAACCTGTATGACTATTGATTGTATCACTTAAAGTCAAAACAAGGCACAAATAACTTGTTTTGATGTTTTAAAAAACTCTGAAGCTTTGCTGCCACCAAATGGACAGAAACAATTATTACACATTCAGGATTATATTGTCATAGTGTTGTAGACTGTAGAGGAGGACAATTACCATAGGTCAGTAGGATTTTAATGATAGATTTCAAAACAGGTCAAAATGTTACAATTAGATTTTTTAAATAAACTCGACTGAGTACAATATTTAGCCAAAAATATGTATTATGTTAAATATGTGAATATGTCTACGTTGCGGTGCAAAGACTTGATTTACCTGCAGCTAGCGTTCACAATCTCTAAAAAAGACAATGCTTTTAGAATGAGCATTTATTTATGAGTTTTTAGAAATATTGTCAATGAAATTCTTCAGTATTAATTGTACTATTCATCCTGCTATTCTGCAGTCTACATTTGTTTACTTTCTCTTTATTTTTCAGGATTTTGCGGGGTGTTTCTCAGATTGAATAATCAAGAATTAAACATGCACAAAAAAAAATAGCATGTTATATATAATATTACATAACGTAAGCATGTAAGCCTACATGTAAGCATTACCAGTGCTTGTAAAAATGAACTCCTGAATAAAATCAAATGTGAGCTTTAAATAAACTCCTATGAAAATGATCAATTATCATTCACTGTGAATATAAAGCCACATAAAGAAATTGTTAGGGAAAATACTGAATGTACTTTTTCAAGGACAGAGATGCACATGATAACGAAGGCCCAAGTGTACAGTATATCAGTGTATATCGCAAGATGTATGATTACCTAGTAAGAGAACCATGACACACTGTTTTAGGCACATGATAAACTATGTGACAACAATTATCATGATGATTCAGCCTCTATGAAGATGGACATATGACAAGCATGATCATTTCTGACGTGGGTCTAAGGTAATCTGAACAAAGCATTGAATACTGCATTGAACCGGTATTCCTCCATCTTGTGACTGTGTAACTCCCTCTCTTGTATATCAGCATGTGAAGAACACTGTTCAGGAACTAGTTGTACCATATGATCTGTATGTGATGACTACTTCCATTCTTGCAAGGATAATAATTAAATACATGTATCCTGTTTTGAAACTCAAGCCGGTGATGAGTGCAATTTTTCTAAAACAAATATACATGGTATTATTACTTAACTTATTGTTATACTTATATACCCGTCAACCCTAGTAAGTATACTTTTGCATTTATTCTTCCTTTTACTGTACATACAAAAAACACTCAAGCCTGTAATTTATTTACAATGAAAACACTTTATTTCATCATGTTGTAAGTTTCATTTCATTGAAAATAAACAGACCAGTAAAAAGGAAACAATACAGTTTGAGATTCATATCATACTCCTGGTGATATATATCCTACTGTCAGTTTGAACCAGCACAGATATCGATTAAATGGCTTTTTAATTAAGAGTCCTTCCTGTAAATCTTGAAATTGTCATTCATGATTACACATCCTAATCAATGTTTACAGTAAATAGTAACACAATAAAATCACAAGTCTACAGTAGAGTCGTGCCACACTGGCATGGCGGGCGGTTAAGCTAAACTATCGAAGCGTCACTTGCATGCACGGTTTATTGTCTCCATAGCCTGGATGAAAAGAAAGCGTTACAGGACATCAAAAGCACTGAGAGGGAAACAGAAAATCTTCTCTAAGACTGTGCGACTCTGTCAATAACAACGGTCTATGTTAAAAGCTTTGCATTACACATTGTTACAGAGGGTATCCTTCAGTGTGTGCTCCTAGGACATACAAAATAGTCAGCTATTAGAAAGCACATAGAACAGCTAAGAACTCTCCAAGTGATATAAGAGCGATAATATGAGAGTAATAATAATAATAATACAGTAATAGGTGCAATCCCCCTCCTCCAGCTAGGTATCTTACAGGTCAGGTACATTTTTATGAATAATGAACTGTACATGGCACTTCAAAAACACTGTTAACAGAAAACTCAGGTGGATGATTCTGAATAAATACATTAAAAAATAAATAAAGTGTTTATTTTGCTCATTCTCAGACAGAGCGTCCAGTTTTTAATCCAGGTTAAATTCTTAGTATGTGTACTGTAATTGTAAACACCCCCCCCCCCCCTAGAAGTATTCCTCTGTGTGTTAGTGTTTGGATAAATTATCAGAAAACACTGTTTTAGTTGTTGTAGTAAGTATGCCTTTGTTTCTCTGAACTTGATCAGAGCTCACCTGCAAATGTAGTTATGTTGTGAGGGAGAACATTTTTTATTTAGAATATTTCCTGGAGCACTCTCAAAGAAATAGTCCATCTTTTATCAATCTTTCTTTCGTCTTTCTCATTTCTATTTCGATGACAACCCATTAACTAATCCAAACTCTCTGCGAGAACGAGGCAAAATGAACTCTAAACTAAATCCCAGTGTTTGTCTTCTCTGTCTACTGTAAACATGAACAATTATTTGAAAACTGTACTAATTCCTCACTGTTCTGAGACAAGAGCTCTGATTTATTAATAAGCAATGAGCCGGCTGAGCATTGAAGATAATCTGAGGATGGATTTGGAATAATCTGGGCTGTACAAGAAAATAAAAATATTATCAGACCAACAAGACTGAGCAAGATGTTTCAGTATCATGATTTTAAACGCCGGGAGGGTGCCATGCTCTTACAAATATGTTTTTAAAAACTCTGGTGACTGTTTAGAGTCCCGTGATGTGTTTGTTTCACTCTTGATTTTATATATGGTTACCCTCAGAAAACGCACATTTCGTTGAGGTCGATTTTCACCGGCAGCGGCCCCGCCTCCTGGCTCTCCTCCGATTGTTTCAGGGTGACAGCGATCATAGGACTCAGGTGGTAGGGGTTGACTTTCTGGGCGTTATCAAGGAACTCTTTATCTCCGTTGATACTAAGCTGAAAAGACAACCAATAAAGAAGTTGTAAGAGTGAGAAACAGGCAGCAAGTTCACCTACAATACTTCACACCACTGTGTTTTTACTTTCCTATTTAGAGTGCTAGGAACCGTGCATCTACTCGAGAGGCGTTGACAACACCAGATGTAAACATTAACGGCATCCTCCTCAGATTAAGAGTAACATAAACTAGCAAAGGTGAGCCTCCTTCCTAATGCACGGTTTATTCTTCAAGGTAATATGCTATAAGCTAAGCAGATGTTTATTAGAACCTCACAACAAGGTCTGAGAAGTGTTAAGACACTTTAAGTAAGCTTTGTTGAGCCTACTTTAAACTAGTGAAGTCATTGCTTCCCTCAGAAGTACATGAGTATACATTGGTTGGGTACTTTTCTCTGCGTACCTGCGTCTTGATGTGCTGCTCTGGTGCGGTGACGAGGCTGGCACAGCTGAGCCACAGCATGACCATGATGGACAGGAAGAGACAGGCCGCTAGAATCCACCGTGGAAGGCCTGAACGTCTGCAGAACGAAAGAGTAGGACATGAAAAGAGACAGGAGTTAGGGGGTGAGATTGAAGATGGACAGAAATACAGAGAGAACTAAACATTAACAAATGTAAATTGTCTTGTTGAAAACACACTTTATAGGAAATGTTGGCACTGCAAATTATAGTTATATAATCTGCAATACCTAACTGCAATCCATCATGTCGACATTTGTTATTGTCAAGGTTACAGAACCACCGCAAGATAATGCAATAGTAGATTAATTAAAAGAATTACATCGTACAATAATGAAAATAAAATAAACTTTAAGTCTCTGAAAGATGATTTTCCTGCTGACAAAAAACTGGAAATCAGACCAAGATACTTTGGTTTCTTAATGAATCAATTGTCAATTGTTTTGTGGTGCAAACAAATTGATATTAAGCAACCAGTCATGCCAACATTAATTACACTGTAATCTGAGTTTTTCAATTTGAACTGTATTGTAATATTCTATTTTAACTGTACTATGTATTATCTTATTGACCTGTACTTAAATCATGTTTTAAAATGATTTGTGTGATAGAGATTATGCAATGTTGTTAGTGTTTGTTGATTGTTATGTACCTGCCTGAGGATTGCAGATAGAAATGAGCTATTAGCTATAATCTGGCATAATTCATATCTTCTTTTCTGAGATTAATGTATTTGTATGCATGGTCCTTGTTGAAATAAATACATAATGTATAATAGTATGAAGTATATTTTATGGGAAAAAAGCATAACTTGGTTCTTTATTCCTCAGCAGGGTAACCCAGCTCACCTCGACATGCAGCCCAGGAAGTCGTGCTCCGCTGTGGGGTCGTCTGCGTGCTGCACCGGGTGCTTCACTTTGCCTCCTGCTTTAGATGCTCCCCTCTCCCCATGTCCCCTCGCACCTGCAATACAATTCATAATAAAACATTTGAAAAAACATCTGAGGAATATTGCAAAAACGTGCATTTGCTGCTTTATATGGGTACGAGTGTGATGTGGGTACGTAGAGGCTAGGGTAGAAACCGATTACATGTAACGGGACTTCTTCATTAGGATACCAAAAAACAAACTGTATATCCTTACAGTTACCTTAAACAAAAAGTAATCAGATTTGTGTTACATTATTTTTGTATTTCTTTTAACACTTTATTTATTGGTTTTTCCCACACATAACAGAGAAAATACAGAGTGCAAATGCAGGTGCTATATACAAAAGAAATACAAAACAATGACAAAACAATAATGATAATAACATAAAAAGACCACTACAGTAATAGCAATGACAAAAACAAACCAAAATACACAATGACATGAAAAGACAGAAACAGAAAACCCCTAAGACCAGGTGTTACATTTTCTTTAAAAAATAGGATTCCTAGTAGGATTACAATGTTACAAAAAAACGTAAAAAGAGCATAATTTGTAGATTTTGTTTAATCGTTGTAAGCAGTACTGTTCTGTAGGATAGTAGTTTGAGTGTCTTTGAGGATATTGAGGTAATTAAAAACAGGAAGTAATCAGGATTGCTTTTATGTTTTGATACTGATTACATCTTTTACAGGTAACTAGTAACTGTAAAAGAACAAATGTTTTATTGACCCTCCCCACCCTGTGTATTCTCTCACCGTGGGGTCTCTGGGTGTGGGAGTGGACCTGAGGCCAGGGCTTGTCGGCCACGTTGGATCGAGGAGCCTGCAGCTCGGGCAGAGAGTACTCCATGTCTGGCTGGCTCTGAGGAGGAAAATAAACAACAGAGACACTCAGCAATCAAGGCAGCAATTATACCAAAGTAAGTCAACAGCACAATTGACAGGAAATGGTCTGTCTGACACTGTGAGGTCAGACCACAAGAGGAGCACTTACTAAGAATAGCTGCTAAAGCTGGACTGAACTTATTTACTATAAGACCAGAGGAGAGGCAAAGTTATACGTTTACACTTCCAAAATTAGCTAGACACTGAAGTAAGGAAAAAAAGAAAAGTGAGACATTTAGAAAAACGTATGAATATTTTGAATTGTTTTTCTTCATGTCTGTATGGTAATTATAGAGCAAACCCTATTTCCAATAAGGTCAACACTATTTATTTAACAACATATTCATTTTAAAAAACAGTATTTTCTTACTGAGAGATTGACATTGATGACAGTTTAAAACATCTGATATTCAGTAGTGGTATTGATTTAAATGTTACACCAAGCGTATAGTCTTTTAATTTTCTATTAGGATTATTAACATCAAAACTTGATACTTAAGTGCAACAAAGTTAGACGTTTCTCATCTTGAAGCATAAAAGATGATTGTGAGGCAGCCAAGTTATTGAAATACATTTCGGTTGAAAGCTTTTAACATCAGCTAAAAGGAATTTATACTCCTTTGTTCAACATGCCGAATGAATCTGAACACTAGTGAAATGATTAAAGGTAGCAAAAAGTGTATCTCGAGCCGGTTTCTCAAACTTGAGAAACCGGCTCGAGATACACTTTTTGTTATATTCCATGGAATGCTCTTAACATCCCGATAGCAATGAATATCTTAAGTGCTTTGACAATAAATCCATAAAAAAATGTCATCTGTGGAAGCCGTAGTACTGTAAAAAGCACGACCAATCATTTTAGCCGGCCCGGCTAAAATAACTGGATGGCCTACCTGCCTGTCAGCCTTCCATCTGTGCACAAACTGATCTCGTGCCCTCATTGGTCATGTGCGCGTTCGTGTGTGTTGGAGGAGGGGCTCTGTAAGGAAGTGGCAGATTTTCTCCGGTTGTGTATTTTCAAATTCTAGCGATCTCGAGCCGGTTTCTCAAACTTACCTACCCTACCTTTAATGATAAGGATGAGAATTTAATTTGTTGCATAACTAAATCTAACTGACTTTAAACTCATGATCATCATCTTTTATTGTTGCCTGCTTAATATGTCCGGGAGTCCCTCGTTGTTTCTTTCTCACACACCCAAACTACTTTAAGTAAAACCCTTGAACTGGGACAGCAGTTTGAAAATTGGCGTTTTAAAACAACTGTTTAACCGAAACGCAGAGCCTGCTGACAGTATTTGTTCCGTTGTGAGTTTCATTATGTGCGCAGTGTTTCTGGTTCCCCCTGGAGAACTCATTAAAAGAGGATTTTGGTTCCCCACTGCTGACCCTTCCTCCACTAGAAGAGCAGCTGCAGTCGGCTCAAACAATACTACTGCTAGCCTCAGCAACAAACACACACACACACACACATACTGTACACACACAAGGGCATCTTAAGAGGAGTACAGTAAATCCCACTGCAGTAGCGTCAAGATCCCGGTATTTATCGATTCTGCAGTAAGTGGATCAATGAACTTCAAAACCTCTTGCTGTGTCTTGCGCTGTCATGTGAACCTCAGAAGTGAAATCTGCATTTTCATTACATTACTTAGGATATGATTGATCTGCTTTCTTCTGAACGATTATAGTCAATGGTTCAGAAAAACAAAACAACACACTGTAGTCGGCCGTAGAGACATGACTGGTTGGTTTGTTTCCCAAAACACTTTCAATCCTTTAAACCTCCTCTGTTGAAATAGCTGTTTCACAACCGGGTTTATTACCCCGAGCAAACAACGTTTTTTTGACAGAGTGCATTGAAACCAGATGCAGCAGCAGTGTGAAGGGTTTGAGCGGCTGATTCTCATTGGCTGCAGACTGAAGGGATCTAACCATCACAACGAGCAGAGCCTGATCTGCATCTGTCATACATTAGGAGAGAGAGGGGGGGATGTAAAAGGTGCTCCGGCTTAAAGGAAGAAAGGAAGGAAGAGAGAAAGGAAGGAAGCATGAAATAAATAAGGAAACAAGGAAACAAGGAAAGAATAGAGTTGCAGATACAATTTCACTAAATCTCACTTCTCTTATTTTGTTGACTTTCAATCTGTTGAAAGAATCTGTGCGAGGGTGAAGTGAATATCAACGTGTAATGCAAAACAACTTTGACTGACTCTTAATCACAATTATAAACACCGTCTCTCCGAGGCCCCATCGAGCTGTGCATTAAGCAAATGAATCATCAAATAAAGAAACCTTGGGGAAATATATAAAGTTAATTGGACTTCAAGTTGGACTAATGGTGTCAAAATGATGGCCCTTAATTAGGAGACCCTAAATGAACTTTGATTACAGCTCTCCCATGTCGACAATTAAGACCACTTTTTATTTTTCTGGAGGTGTGGAACGTGGAATAGGAGACAGAAAATACTTTATGTTGAAATGATAATAAAACAAACACTTATAAAAAGGGTTTAGAGGGACAAAAACCTCAGGATTAAAAGACAAGTCCGGCTATATTCTGTATTTCTCTTATTGGCAACGCATCTAGACCAAAACAACTGAAAAATGTATTGATCTTTATAACAAGAATTGAGTATGAAAATCCTGATCTTGCTTCATTTAGAAAACCATGGGCTCTGTAGCTTATCATAGGCGAATCCCAAAAAACGTATACCTTCCGCCAAACAGTTAACTAAAGTAATTGCTGTTATCCAATGCACTTTTTACTCATGTTTGACTGATGTTGTTGTAAAAACTATACTGCCCACCTGTTTAGCCCTATTTAAAAAATGAATAAGTATACCTGTCTTCAGTAGGAACCATACTGAATACTTTATAAAAGAAGGGGAAGTAGTCACCGTGATGTGAGGTTTTGGACTACCGTTGTTATTTCGGCTGTTTCAATTTTTGTTAGCCAGAAGTGACTACATTTTGACAAGATGATCTATTATTAGAACCAAACACGGAACAATGATGTGGCAGCGACTTGCCAATCACAAGGTTGTCCCGCCTTAAAGCACAAAGCATTTTGTTTGTTTATTTTACTGTTAATGGGAAAATAATTTACAAAATAAATATTATGCTGGACTGGAGAATACTTGAAACTAGTGTCTGAGACCATAAACGTATTAGCAAAATGTTTACTGAAGTAATAAATCAAGTGAGATATAGGGTCCTTTTCTCATTGACTTTTCAGACAATGATGTTGCCCCTTTGAAACCAATGGTATTGTATCTGAGAACAATAGAAACTAAGGTGGTCAAAGATGAACCATAACACCATAAATCATGAATGTGCTTTACATACTGTATGTAAAGTGCATGCTTATGTCACCATTAGTGTAAACTAAGCTGAGAACTGACTTCCTTTACAGTGTAGCATCATGAGTCAGAGTCAGGTTTACAGCCTCACCCAGAGTTCACTTTGTGCAGGCGTGCTCCTTGACAGAACAGGAGCTCAGTCAGAGGAAGTCTTTCATTAACTCACTTTTGTCGCACTTTCAAGGTCTGATTTGTCAAAAATAACACCAGGGTGCTGAAAAGGGAATGACTGAATGAGGTAAAGGGCTGTGTTTTACCAATGCTTCACAAAATGACAAGTTTCCTTTACTTTTTTCCGTCACTGGGGGACAACCCCAGCTGTGACCTAAAAGCAACTTCTTCCACCCTCACGATCTGAACACACTGCTGCCACTAATGTTTGTTTGTGATGCACACAACCAGTCATTCTCACAACTTGAGGTCACACAAACACACACATGGGCGCACAGATGGATCTATAAAGAAGGTGCTTTATGGACATACACATCATTTATATGACAGACAGCGTTGGGTTGCTTCCCCCCCTCTGCTGTCCCTCAATTTAGCTGGACTTTTTCTGTTATTTCAACACTCGGAGAGTCAATCCGTCAACTCTGTGGCGGTCTGCCAGCTGACCACTAAACACAGGCCTGGTATTCTTCCCACAGCCCCGTGGAGCCCGGCTTCTCTCTCCGCTTCAGCCGGCATGTCACTTCCACAAAGAGCAAACATCCATCACCACGTCCAAAAGAAATGTTGGTGATTTTCTGTGGCTGCTGCATCTCTATGTGAGGCGGAGCCCATCGTTTCTTATACCTAATAGTGAATTTAAGCATATAAAAAGACTCCTCTGTTACACAGTAGCCCTTCTGTATGGGTTACGGTGCATAAATACTGTCATTTCCCTTTTAGCCCTTTAATTATGTAGCTAAAAATGCGATCAAAGTCACAAATGGGGAAAACCCCTGACAGGGAAGCAGGTTTCTGACCCGTTTTTGGAGGATATGGTTGAGTAGTCTGGTGGTTAGACAGACCAAATCCTGTTATAGCTTTAATGTATAGGTGCTTTACGCCATTGATCTTAGCAATTAATCAAGTAGCCACGGCTGCAAAAACCTCTAAGTTTGCTTTTTCTAATAATACGATTTTTCTGGTGTACATCTGGATCCAGATCTGCAGGAAAGTGCTTAATCAGCGAAAATCTTCCATAAAACACAGAGTTATTTAACAAAAAGTCTTGCCAACAGTGCCGAAAAATAACCTCTTTTGTGGGGGTAATCATGAGCAGTGAATCGGTCAACTTAATCTTTTAAAATTCCTCATAAAAAGTTGGAATATGTATTTGTCACAACTTAAACTTAATCCTTTAGCGCAGTCCACTCTTCTAAATCTTGCAGTGAGTTTCTGTCCTGAGGCGGGTTCACCACAGTAAGCCCTGCCGCTTATAAAATATGCATGGAGCTAAAGGGAGAGACATAATTTAAAAGGACATTTATAAACAATTAAAGTGCTGAAAAACAGTTTGCAGCTCTGTAAATCTAACCACCTTGTCCCCACCCCGCTGTGTGCCCTTACTCAGTCAACCTTCACAGATGCACCGACTCTAAAGTGGGCTGTGAGTCGTTCTGGCAGAGACCCAAGCTCTGCAGCATCGTACGGTTAGAGGATGTATTTCACTATCTTAACAGGAAGCAGCTCATCTAATAATCTATAAAGGTTTACTCGCTTGCTTTTAACCTCCCGTCAAAAACACATGGTATGAAAAAGCCTTTTAGTTATCAATCTTATAATTTTCCGCCATCATGACTCATGGGATTCATGGAGATTTTAGTGTTTATTTGTCTGGGTCTTTTAAAGCAAAGCACTTAAATATCCAACTCTGTTCTCAGCATAGATATTAAGAAGAAGTAGGACACAATATGCACTTAGTACAGATACAATTGAATAAAAAACGTTGAACAAGTTATGATTGTTGAAACATAATCAAACTGTGAAAACAAAACCACATGCTGATTACATTACAGTGTTACTTTATGCATTGTGTGTGTGTTTATTGCAATTGTTCTCTGATGAGATTTGATATATATGGGTCAATGTAAGTGGACGTTGTCTTTCTTTATCAGTTCAGCCACAGGAACCTTTACTGATCACTGCAATTATATATATATATATTTTGTTATCAATAACAAATAAAATAGTTGAACATTTGAAAATGAGTATGAGCTGGGTTTAATTGAGAACACCATCAGGTTTATAAATTGGCAATAGAGGGCAGAATATGTGCATTTCGTGACCATTTTGCAGAACATAACTGTAACCATTTATCTATAAACTAAAATGGACAGGTCAAAGGTCAAATGCTTTCTGTGAAACAGGAACAATATACTCCTAGAGCCCTACAATGCAAAGGCCTGTTCTGGATAAACACTTAGTTTAGGTCTTACCTGGAAAACCACAACCTTGCCGTCATCAGCCTGCAGGTAGAAAGTCCAGGTGGAGGAGATGAAGCTCTGGGCGGAGCTGACGATGTCGTTGCACCAACCGGACACGGCCTCCATCACAGAGAGGGATTTAGGGCGAAGAGTCATGGCCCTGAGCTGCAGAGGAGAGAGAATCAGAATCAGAATACCTTTATTCGTCCCACAGAGGGGACATTTACATTGCTACAGCAGAAAAGAGCCAAAGACAGCTTAATGTTACATTGTACAAAATACACCTCCTAAACACACTCTTTACGAGCAGTATTGACTGTGTGTGTGCCGTTTACACACGTTTGTGATCTTAGTGATTTTACCACTCAGATATCCTGTCACTTTGGCTCTCATTGCTCGTTTGCAGTGTTACAGTGTTCAGCGTTTCTCACCCTTCTCCTCTTGAGCTCAGGTTCAGAGGGTTGGCTGGCGCAGCCGGTGCAGCAGGCCTCCTGCTCCAGCTGCTTCACGTACGCCTCCTGACAGGCTGGAGAGAGAGGCAGGGAGGTGAAGGGATTGTTATGAAGCATGAAAATAAGAAGCATGATGGTAAAAGAAGTAAGAGAAGAAGAAGGAGTGCACAAATGCAAACAGAGTTGGCATAGAGCACTACAGTGAGTTTACTAAAAGATAAAAGGAACATAATAACAGGTACTGGCTTCATATGTGGGAAGAAAGATAAAGATGCAAGTGAGATTTATCTGTTGGCCTCCGTGGAGATGAATCACTCCACGTTGCCGTGATTGAAACAGGGAGCAACGGGGCATTGGCTGTCTGGACGGCAAATCACATCATTGATTTCCAATAGAGGTTCAAACCGAGCGAAGGAGCCTCAAACACCCAGAAAAACACCCACTGAGTCGCCAGCTTTTAGGAGACAGTGCAACATTTACATTTTTAGGTCAAACGAGTCCTTGTCAAAAGGACTCACTCGTTCAAGGTCTTAAGAAACTATTTCAGTAGAAACAGCATGAATATACCGTTTAACCTTCACATTACTGTGTGTTGCACAAACCAAACGTATGTTTAAGTGAATCACATGGCTACATTTAATCAATATATGGATATTATATCAATATTGTGATATAAGAACAAATATTGTCTGTCATTTTGGATATTGTAATATGCCATAACTGTTGTCTTTTTCCTGGTTCAAAGGGCGGATTGCAGAAAAGTGAAGTTCAAATGTTTTTATTTATCTTTACCACTAAGTCATCATATCAACATTACTGAAGATGTTTTATTTTATGAAAGCATGAACAGTCAACCCTATAATGTTGTTGCAGTTTTTAAATGGAGTTATTTGGTAAAAAAATATTTAGATTTAATTTTAGGTGGATTCAGTCCGCTGCCATTCATTTAAGTATTGAGGCCTCAGCAGCGTACACTTTTGGCGCTGGCCCTGCTCAGCATGTCATGCAGACAGACAGGGAGACAGACAGACTGACAGGCAGACAGACTGACACTGACTCACCTCCCTGACACTCCTCCCTGCTGGTGTTGAAGCCGGCGTTGCCATTGACGAACTGGCAGATGGAGTAGAGGCGACAGCCGCGGTGACAGGCGTTCATTATGGAGTCCTACCAGCGGACAGAAAGCAGAGAGGGAGATGCAAAATTAGAGATGTCTCAGGCACTCTTGGATAAACTCAAGATAGGTTTGTTAGAAAACATGATGGGTTATGGCATCTCCTAATGACACGTTGCAGCTTTTAAATTACAGCCTGTCACAAACAGTTGATACAACTGTTCACAATGTGCCTGTTGTAGGAAACAAATGCAGTAATATGAGGTGGTTATTTTGGAAAATGCACATTATTGTACTTTTTACAATGCATTAATTATGGTTTTAGATAAGGAAACAGCGCCCCCTGGTGACCTCTCTCGGGACAGACGAGACAAAGAGATTCCCTGACCGCGACCATGAAGGATTTATTACAGCCTTGTGCTTGTCATCTTCATCACAGCGTGTCCCTATTTATTCACAGAGGGGTGTTTATCTCAAACCATAAAACGGTGCCTTATTGTTTGGATGCACTTCATATTCAACCTTTCTTTAGCTACTGCGCAGTATGTAGCCTAGGTTTTCAAATCGAAATATGCTTCTTTAATCACAATCTTTAAAGCAGTACACTCTGATCTGCCTTGCAGCTCTGCCCTGCAGGATGCCTGAACCACACCTGAAGGCAGCGGAGGAGGATGAGGAGGAGGAGGAGGAGGAGGAGGAGGAGGAGGAGGAGGAGGAGGAGGAGGAGGTGGTGGGAGGAAAAACATCCGACCCTGGACATCTAGGCAATGCTCTAAACCACAGAAACTCCTGGTGAAATTCACAGCCATTATGTACCGTCCTGCATGGGGTCTAGTCCGGCCTCTTCTAAGATGCTGTGTATACTGAGAATAAAGGATTGCTTCATGCTTCATAACAGTCTCACTGACCCTCCTCCACCCTGCAGTAGAAATGCCCTGCTTGATCTTAATAGCGGATAAAGGAATGATCAGTTATTGGCGCAGTTTAAAGCAAGTACAGCTGACTGTGTGCAGTTCACTTCTTGGACGACACTGTAAGGTGCAGAAAGAAAACGAGCTGCAACCATCTTTCGGCCTAATTGTGCGCCGTCGCGTCCAAGAGGATGCAGCGAAAAAACCCAAAACATCTCATTACGCACGGACATAAACGCATTTCTTTTAGCCTATATTTTCAGATGTAAACATCGTTTTTTTTTTCCCGATGCTAAATATTTTGTAGCCTATTCGTCAGTATGTCTGGCGCTGAATCGTCGGACAGCAGGATGCATCTCTCTCGCTGCTGGTAATGCGCTTCCTGCAGAGACAGCCGACAGTACAGCAGCACAAGAGGAAGGAATAACTTACTTTAGCTGGGCTTTTGTTTTTGATGGTGAGCTGGCATTGCTTTTTGCAGTAATTGATGTCGCCCAGTTGGTTGTCAAACAGATCCGAAGACGCCGCAGCGATCCCGGCGAGAAGCACCGAGAGCAGGGCGGAGAAGCCGCACATCTTTCCGCCGAGCCGGAGCATCTGTAACCCTGGAGAGGAAGAGGAGGAGGAGGAGTGGAGAGAAGAAGAGGTACAACAACCAGCACTGAACTCCCTTTGTGGCGCTGCTGGTGCGGATGCTTTGCTGCCTCAGCCCGGTGCTTGTCTGCTCCAAGGATCTGCCTCTGCTCGTGGCGTCACACGCATCATCATCATCACACACGACGCCCCCCAAACATACACACACACACACACAACCTGCAGCGCTGCCTTCACTGCAGTGCACAATGTGGCAGTGATGACATTCATAAAATGTGTCAGATAGTAGAAAAGGAGCAGATGTCCAGCACAGAGCTGACAGATGGAGCGTTTGTTGGAGTATCGACAGTTCATACATAATCAATGTGATAATTATAGGTTTAATGTAGAGATCCTGCTGGAAGTGTGGCAACACATAAGAGATGAGGATAGATTAGCAAATAACTGTTCAAACTATATTGTATGTGTTTATTGATTTTGTCTTTTAATCCTATTTAAACAATATGTTATAAGATGATACAATACAAAGACCTTTACTTACAAAACATAGCCTATAACCCTATAGAGCAAAAACTGACGACACAAGTTTTTTTGTTGGTTGATGCATTGATTCAATGTTGCTGCTGTGACAAAACAATTTCCCAAATTGGGATCAATAAAGTAATTTAATCTAATATTTTGCACATTATAGGAATATTCTAAAGCCTTGTTTCAGATAAAGTGAAAACATAGTCAGTTAAAAATAAAAGGCTGTTAATGAAGTAAAACGACATATTAATAATGTATTGGATTGTTTTTGATATAAACTAAGTATGCAGCAATTGAATGTCATTTCCTAAGAAGTCAAGCTAATTCTGATTCGTTCAATAACAATAAAGAATATCGAATTGAAGTAGGCTTGTAGTTCATTATCTGTACCCTATACACATAATTTATGTAGCTTAGTATATGCGTGTATAATCTTAATGTAATTGAGTGGATGTAAGAAATGTAAGTATAAGTAGCATACTTATTAGGCCTACCTTAAATGTGCTTTACTGTACTCTAAGTACAGTTCTTTAGTAAATATAGCTAAGCTCGATAGAGAGATATATAGATAGATATATATATATAGATAGATAGATAGATAGATAGATAGATAGATAGATAGATAGATAGATAGATAGATAGATAGATAGATAGATAGATAGATAGATAGATAGATAATGTATTGTTATGTTGTTGAATAAAGACCCTATCATTTAATTGTACAAGTTTACACACCTAGTCTCTTGGAAAACAACCTGGAAACCCAACCTGTGTGTGTGTGTATTTGGTATTTGTGTGTGTGTACTAATGACTTGTGTGACTGAGAGGGAAAACAAGGGAGGAGTAACATAGTGTTACAGCAGCAGCAGCAGAGTCAAAGGAGTTAAAAGGAAGCAAACCTCGTGTCTCCTGCAGCCTGCCTGCACTCACAGTCCTCTCCAGACTTCCAGTGAAGAGCCGACATTTGGTCTGAGAAGAGCCGCTGGAGAGTGCCTCTAACCGGCTTCATCCTCCAACTTCCCCCCGCTGTCAGCTCGGAACTCGAAAAGAACCGAAAGAGAAAACAAGTTACTGAAAGAAGCATGTTTTCCTTCATGTTTCTGCTCCTGCTAGTTCCACATGAGCTGCTGTCCTCAACACGTAAGTATCAAACTTTACTAAACCGTCATACACGCTACCGGACATTACCGCGTTTCAGTCAGTGCTCACCTCAGGGTTTGGGAGGTTAACCGTGTCGACTTAAAGCAACAGTCAGCTATAAAGTAATCAAGGTTTCCCAGAGGGAGCTGCTGTATGGAGGCTCCTAACCAACAAAACAACATTTACCTCAACTTAATTAAAACTAGCACAAATAAGGGTAACTTTTTTCACAATTTTAACATGGCAAGATGCAATAAATACCCACCAGATACAATTATAATAGGCAACCACACAAGACAGATTTTCAAGAACGGCCAATGCGTATTAGATGGCAATTATCTTATAATTTGTCATTTTATTTTGCGATATTGATATCTTTATTAAGTAAATGTTTATAGAAAATAGTAGAGAAAGTGTTAATGGTTAAAATTACAAAACAAGAACATCAGCTTTTGTATAATGTTACGAATGAAGTACCAATCAAATCAAGAAACTTTCACAACACGTTATTGCAATAATTAAAGTCTGATCTAATAACATTTTGAGACCACTATTGCTAGTTGTATAAGGCAGTTAATAAAATACCAATATTATGTTAGTGTTATTATTATCTGGATAATAGCTGAATATTTTGCAGTTTCAATAAACTTCTCAGTGCTCTCTGGCAGACAATTCATGTCATAAAAACATTTTTATAAATCACTGCAAACATCCGTATCAATATTTGGCTTCTGCAAATTATTGTTATCTATCAGCTGACATATATGCAATATATATGTGCAAAACACTAATATTTGCTTTTAAATTAGGGCTCTTTTAGGAAAATCCCATTTCTATACAATGCTTAAATACAACCAGAAATATTTATAGGGAGAGCTAAAGCTACCTTCTTTGGCTGCTAATAAAAAGACAAATGTTTATTGTCTCATGATCATCCAATCAATCAACCCTGTTGCTTATTTATTAGCGAAAATGTGTTAAAGAGATTGCATTGTAACCAACTAATGACACAGTGTTAACACAAATTATAGCCTAATTGTAGCATTATAAAAAAAAAAAAATCCAGATCCAGTGACAACACATGGAAATGAGAGTAAGGATTAACTGATTGTTTCCCTAATTGTGGATTAGACTAAGAACAACACGTATTAGGCATGGTGGTGATGGAGCTGAGGAGACAAATTGAAATTAACATTGTTCATTAGCGCTGTTGCATGAAGGAAATGCAGAGTCATTATCATGCAGATGTTTATAATCATAAGACTGAGATAAACAACTGCAAATAGCTTCTATATATGTTGTGAAAAAAACATGAAAACACATGCATGTTTGTTATTTTTCATGTATATATTATACCTTACATCATGTTTGATATTGAATCCCACTGAGACCCAAAGGTCAGTCGCCACTCTTACTTTATGCAGATACAGTGTTCCTATCTGTGCATTTATCTTTATATTATCTGCTACTGCATCCAGCGCAGTGGCACATATGTTGGAAAGCTTGTCCACCGCCCACCTGGAGCATGGTTAATAAAATGATGCACATTACCCCTGATATCTCTGAGAAGAAGGAGCCCATTGGTAACATTGAGAACAGAGGGTTTCTCAGGGGCATCAATCATAAACGAAAACTTAAAGTCTAAGCAGGGCCGTGGTATGGAAAAGTATTCAAGGATTTAATCGACAACAGGATGACCTTTCTGAGTGATCCCACTGAGGCTCCATAAATCCACTTCATTACCGGGTCATAAATATGTGCTGAGCTCCTGCTCTCTGTGGTGCTGCAGTGCTGCTGCCGCACTCCCCCTCCTCACACAATGTTTCTTACTGCTGGCAACAGATTTGGGCACACTGTGTGTTTAATGCTTTAACAAATCAAACTTTACAGAATAATAGCTACCCAGAATATAGTGCAAGCTGTTACGGAGTGTCAAATGAATGAAGATTAAAGGTTGAGAGGGCTTAAAAACTCAAATTAAAATGCATTGTGTTTCTGTTAGAAAAACAATATTAGAAAGTGAGCTGTTTATTTTGGCTTTGGGTGACCTTTACAAGAAAAAGGGTGAAAGCAGAATCAATCATGAACAGGTATTTGTCTTCTGGACAGGCTGCAAACACATCAACAGAGATGTGAAATCAGAGAAACAACAAAAATAAATTCCATTTAATAATGTAGTTGATTGATTCAACAAGATAATTCAGTTTGTAATTCATTCATAATTTCAGTCATCAAATAAAAAATGCAATATGTCTGCAGCTTTCAGTCTCTGAAATGTGTTATCATTATCAGCTTTTCCTAGTTGTATATATATATTATTGTAAGATGTATGTATTTTGGATTGTCTTATCTCCTTTGGCTCTGGAAACTGGACATTTTAAATGAGTGGAGTTCAATGAAAGCATGGCAATTTAAGACATAAGACATTTTATTGTACTGTAGGCATACAACTAAAAATATCTTTGGTAACTTTCAATGACCTTCAGCAAGATAACACAAAGTGTCGCACAGAGTGTTAAAACTGTTAAACACCTGCACTTTTGAAAGAACATACATAACATTCATCTGTTTGCAACTCACATATATCATATGTATCAATATTCCAATTACTGTATATAGACTATTCTGCACAGTTTCTATCATATTCTGTTTCTATTATATTCTATTTTATTATATTCACTTGCACTATTTTATCTGTTTTATTGTGTTGCACTGTTGGAGGAGCCTGTGACCTAATATGTTCATTGTCATAACTACACTGGAGCTACTGTATGCACACATGACAATAAAAGCCTTGAAACCTTGAGAATGTAAACCATTGTAATACCATACATGTGTGTGTGCTCTCCTTAGATGTGGCAGTGATCTCCCCTCAGGACCCCGTGCTGCCGATCGGCTCCAGCCTGACGGCCACCTGCACGCTGGCCCCGGGGCTGGGTCTGCAGGCCGGCTCTCTGTTCTGGACCCTGAACGGGCTGAGTGTGTGCAGCAGCAGCTACAGCGTGCTGAGCCCCGACACCCTGAGCGTCACGTTGCACAACCTCAACGGCTCCCAGCAGCAGTCCGGAGACAACCTGGTGTGTCACGGAGCAGATGGACACGTCCTGGCCGGCTCCTGTCTCTATGTGGGCAGTAAGTGAAGGATTCTGTCTGCGCAGAGCTTTATGGAAATGACTTGTTAAAATGCACAGTCAGGAGGCTGGCACAGTGCTTTTAGGATGTGGTAGTAGTATGTTATGTAATGAAATTAAATGCCATTTTTAAAACATATGAATACAAACATTATCCAAAAAAGGAAGTAATGTTGTTTTGTCCCATTTTCTTTGTTTTCTTTGCTTTGACGAGCTGGTAGTGTGTATATGATGTAATGAAAAATGAATTACTTTATATACATGTGCTTGCAAACCTACTCTGATTGCATTAAAATTCTTGTTTACTTTAAATATTGTTTTGCTCCTAACTAGTGTCACTCCACCTTAAACTAAATGTAATTATAGATTCTATACAAAATGCTGATTAATGACATTAAGAGTCAGAGCCTCTTGTTGACAGAATCTAATTGTTGAACCTTGATATGAAAACCTTGTTTGCTGCTTTCCAACTCTTTGTTTTTAGTTCTATATAAAACCTTTTTTATTCATACCTTTCTGTAATGCTTTAAGATTAGTTGATTAGTTCATCAGCTTTTATAATATAATAATTTGCTTGATGGAGTAAATGCTACACATGAATGGAGAGGAATTGGCCTTACTCAGTTTTCTCTTGTTCATTTCAGAATAAAATAAGATTAACACTAGGCTCGTATTTTTGCCTTTACTGCCTTTTTTTAAATAAAACATTCATTGTTTCCCACCAGGGCCTCCAGAAAAGCCTGTAAATCTAACGTGTTGGTCCCGCAACACGAAGGACCTGAGCTGCGGGTGGAGCCCGGGGGGGCGGGGTGAGACCCACGTCCGAACCAAATACACCCTCAAGTACAAATTGAGGTGAGCGCCCCAGACCTGCTGCAGCTCACAGGTGATCACCTCGCCCCACAGCACTCAGGTAGACTAGCAATACATGCTTTAGTGCCGCGTACAGTTTATCATCTGCCACACACACTTTGCTCAGAGGCTGCAGTGTGTTGCTTCGCTTGTGTTAAATATACTCAGTCTACCTACATCGCAGTTTACTTTTGGTCATTGTGCTTTTGTTTCTGTGCAGGTGGTATGGCAGAGAGAAGGAGTGTGAAATCTACAGCACAGGGAAGCAGCGATACTCCTGCTACATCCCCCGCAACCTCGCCCTCTTCACCCCGTACGAGATCTGGGTGGAGGCAGCCAATCAGCTGGGCTCGGCCACCTCTGACATCACAACCCTGGACATCCTCGATGTAGGTGAGTAAGCACTTGAGGATCCATTTGAGGATGTGTGAAACTGATTTGTCCTCCCTTTCCTCTCGTGTTCTTTAAAGGTCCCCTATCATACTGTTTTTCATCAATATATTATAGGTCTCAGATATATACAAAACATGTCTCTGAAGTGTTTGGCTTGAAACACCAAACAGATCATTGCAGCATCCCATAATCCCCTCTGTTTCAGCCCTGTTTCAAAAGTGCTGATTTTCTGTCTGTTACTTTAGATGAAAATAAGGAGCCCCTCCCCACGCCCCTCTGAGAGATATTTGGTTAAAAATAACTCAATGGTGCTCTAGGAGGAGATTCAGGTGATAAGGTGGGGTGGGGGGGGTTACCTTGGTTGGTGATTGGCTAATGGTTACACAAGAAAATAAATCGTTATGACATCATAAAGTGGCCACAATCTGATCAGCTCATTTTCAGACAGGTTTTTATATAAATGGATCAGGACAAAAAGAGAGAGAATCTTTTTTCCTGAAGCTTTCAGAATCTCTTTAAACAGAGGGGACACATGTTTATGTATAAGAGACATGAAAAAGTGGATTTTGCATAATAGGTGACCTTTAATTTGTTTCCTGTCTCTTGCTATTCCTTTGTTTGGCTTGTTTGTCTGCAGCCCTCCTAACCCACCTCTTTAGGGGAGAGATGGGGATTTATTTTTATGGTTCACTCCCTCCAACACGCCTCTGTAACAGCATTATGGGTTCAGGCTGCAAAAAGAAAGTAAACTGTTGTGTTGTAAAAGTTAACTGCACATCTGATGCCTCTCATGCTAAAGCTTCACAGTGCTCTCACGAGAATGTTGGGTTATAATGTATAAACGATAGAAGTATACAAATTCTGCAGCGCTTATGCAATGCTGCGGCCTCAAGCACATTGAAACCAGTGTTTATTGTCTGTGGCTGGGCATCCTCTCCCTCCATTCATCCTCACTGCACACTGAAGAACAGTCAACTTTGCTGAGCTATTGAGAAGGAGGAGTGCTGCCATACATGTACAGCATGAATAATGCATAGCACTGCATCAATAACACAAACTATAAGCTGTGGCTTTATTTATGCTGGCTTTGGTTCCCTTTGTTCCTCGAGCTGAGTGCGATAGAACAAATAAAGCTGAGAAACAGTAACATTCAGCACCATGCAGTGAAGCACCAGTGAAGGATGTCAAAGCAGGAGGTTACAAACAGGAAACACTTTTACAACTTCTTTAATACGTTTCTTTCTTTGTCTCTCGTGCTGCCGTCCTCTTATCTGTCCCTCTGTGTTTCTCTCCTTCAAAGCACTTGATTTGTTTGCAGACTTTTATTGCAGGAGGTCAAATGTTTAGTCTAATTCTGACCGAAGTTACAACACGCTCTGCACAGGAAGTACAGCCTGATCTGAGCCAAAGCCAGTCTCTACAAGAGGGGAAGTTAAAGGATATTTGAAATATAACGGCAGGCTACAAACCCATACATTTGGTACAAGAACGTCTAAAAGTGACAGACTTCTGGAAGATAATTCTTTAGACTAAAATTGAGAGTTAAATGATCTTGCTTTTAATGTGGAACTGTCCTGTTTGGGTAGGGGTTTCTACTTGTGTTCAATATTCCCTCATGTTCAATCTGTCAACAGATTAATTTATTTGTATTTCTTTCACGCACACCTGGGAAGTATTTACTGAATGTGTGCATGTTTGCATATACCGATTAACAGTATGCTAGGACTTTTTCCCCTGCACAAAGTGTGAGAATTTTATGGGGGATATTATATATTGCTTCGACCATAAAAAATGATTTTACTGACTGCTCAAAATGGAAGCAGCAGTGAAATCCAGACTTGGATCCAACACTTCCAATAATGTCCACTTTTTAAAACTCCATATCCCACAGATTTTTTGTGACACATTCAAATTCATGCTTATACAGTATAAGCCTAATAGCTTACCCTAATCAGTGTTGGAAATTGGCTAAAATGCATAATTCATCACAAAAAGAGCATTCCTATTGGAATAATATAAAACTGCATATGAGGAACACATTCTTCTTTCCTTTTTTTAATACCTAAAGCACTAGTATGACTTGCGTTTTTAATATTTAATTAAATTCATGTAATTATTGTCTTTTTCCTGACTTTCTAACTTTGATAACAATTCTCAAAAAAGTTTTACCGTCATTATTGTATATGATAAATCTTACTGACTTTTTCTTTTTTTCTGAAACAAGGTCAGGTAGAAAGAGAATAAATAATTTAAAAAAAAATAAAAGAAACACAAAAAAAGAGAAAGAAATTATCAGTGATCATTTTAATTAATGTTGACTGACTATTGCACACAAGAAACATAGGGAAACATGGAAAATAAAGACTAAATATAACATTGTAAGTAGGAGAGATGCAGTTTTATGGCTCTGCACGGATCATCCTCACCATGAAGAGTGATGAGGTGGGATGCTTTCTGCCCTCAGTGTCAAAACGCCACATTCTGCAGTGTATCCTTGCTCTGATTGCTGTACATCTGCTGCATAATAACTTTGATCACTTGTCCTTGTTCTCGCAGTGACCACTGACCCTCCTGCCAACGTGCAGGTGAGTCGTGTCGGCGTCCTGGAGGACCAGCTGACGGTCCGCTGGGCCAGCCCCCCCGAGCTCAAGGACGTCCTGTTTCAGGCCAAATACCAGATACGCTACAGACTGGAGGTCAGCTCTGAATGGAAGGTGGTCCACACACACACACACACACACACACACACACACACACACACACACACACACACACACACACACACACACACACACACACACACACACACACACACACACACACACACACAAACTTGCAGCCTACACACGCTTCCTCTGTAGCTACGACACCTCTGAGGCAGCTGTGGAAATATTGGAGGTGCAGCATTGACTGAGCCATTAAATGATGAACATAAAAGTTGCTGCATCTCCAGTCTCCCGCATGTGCTTTCATTTCAAAGCAAATAATACGAGCGTGCAAACCCCTGACTGCTGCTCGAGTCTTTGCAGGGACATTTTGAACGCTGGCTTTCATCCAAAAGTGCAGTAGTAGTGGAAAACTTTTATTCTTTAGAAATCTCATTTGAAGTTCCCTGCCCACAGCTTTTCGTCTCGTCTGTGCAGGTACATCTTAGAGTGCTCGATTCAATACAGAATAAGTTCAATTATAAGCGTTTACAAATATTTGACATACTGTACATTTGACTACATTTAAAATGCATAAAAAGCTCTTCCAACAAACTTTCCTTGCCTATGGAAAGATAATTACCTTTCCAGATATCCCGACATAACACATAACACATTTTCCTTCTTTATTTATTTGTTATATTCAGACCTGAAAGGTGAGGTTTTTATGTCAAATGCAAAAAATATGACCAAGTGGCAATGTATGGTATGTTGTTGTGTTTTGCATTGTACTGCTGTAACATGACACCTGCAACTGCTTTTTTTCCCTTTTCAATTTATGTGCAAAAACAATCAATAAAAAGCTCATAACAAATGAAATATCATTTTCATCTGTGCATGAAAGAAAGATATCATTTAGTTGAGGATAATATTACCCATTTCTAACACATCTTCTCTGTGGTTTTGTTCCCGCTCGCAGGTGGTGGATGATGTTGGTAACCAGACGTCATGTCGGCTGGCAGGCCTCCGACCCGGGACCGTTTATTTTGTCCAGGTGAGATGCAACCCAGTGGGCATCTATGGCTCCAGGAAGCCCGGCATCTGGAGTGACTGGAGCCATCCGGCCGCCGCCTCCACTCCCATCAGCGGTGAGAACATCTCAGAGGGAAAACTGAGAAATGTTATACAAAACCCACCAAATGTCTTTCCTTTCATCGTCTGTCTCGTGTCTTAAATGGCTTTTAAATTCCTCCCAAACCTCTGTGATGCCCACAAAACTTGACCATTTGTTCCTTTTCTAATAATCAACCTTTCATTGCCAATTAAAGCCAGAGAAAAACAATGTCATTATCCTTGTTTCAAACATCCGGAACAAGGCGATCCAAACCGCATGGGACGAAGGAGAAAGCAAACATCAATGGGCTGGATGGCTTGATACAGATCTCCCAGCAGAGGATTAGAAGGAAACTGCAAAAAGCCAGGGGGACATTTTGATAGATTTTTGTCGTCCGCTTCAAAGATTGATCAAGTTAAAAAGCTGCTTGTCTGTCCCGGCTCACACAGGGCCTATAAAGCTTGAGTGGAAGCAGGTTTGCGAGCAGATAATGAGTTGCATAGGTCTTGAGAAGTATTTACTCTCCAGAGGGAGGAAGTCGTTATCCGGCTCTGCTGTTTGCCATTAGGCATTGATTGTAGGAGACGACTGTCAGTGAGAAATAAAAGTAGGGTATATCACAGATTCTCATTTTATAAACTGAGAAACATTCATTTTTATGTGAAACTGTTTTCATCTCGTTTTGTTCAATCAAGCAACATGAATCATCATAAATGTTCACTCGGCAACAGTTTTTACCAGAAGCAAGCAGAGATGCGAGAGGCATGCTAGGTTTCTTGATTAAATTCCTATTTAATAATACGCCAGAGCATAATATCAAGGCTTGAGACTGGTATTACATAAGTGTTATTTCTGTCCTACTAAAAACTATGACCTCTGGTGAGTTGAGATCGATGTTGGTTTTCCATTTTATAGGCTAAACATTTATAGGATTGACATCGAGAAGAGTCTACAGCAGGGGTGCCCAATACGTCGATCGCGATCGACCGGTCGATCGCAAAGGTAGTGTGGGTAGATCGCATGGCATTGACGTTTTTTTAAAGTTAGCCTATCATCCATCCTTACTATGGCATTTGCCACTTGATTGATGTACAGGTAAGCCAGTCTGAGTTGTATTGTGCCATACGGGTTCATGCAGTTATGAGGGGGCCTCACCTCATCTGAAGCGCAAATGCCCCCTGGTCTACAGCATACTAACAAACAAGAGTCTCTACAGTATAGACTGTATAATATAGGTCTACAGCAATGCTAAGTCCCTGTTAGCTTAATGCTAAGCTCAGAATGCTAACATGCTCCAAATGACAATGCTTACAAGCTTATGTTTATCATTATATTTAGCTGATGCTTTTATCCACTTATACTGCATAAACCATAAAGACTCAAACTCAACAACAAGAAACCATCTTAGGTGTTAGCTAGCTATGCTAACATTTGACAACTTGTAAGTAAAGCTGTCATTGTTTTTTCAGTTAGCCAAAGTATCTGACAGATGGCAATGTAGTGCTAGATGAGGTGTCAGCAGATCAAGTTATTAGAATGTATTTGCAAAAATATATATTTTAGTTTTTTAGATGGATTTTTATGTTTATTTTTCTTTGGTGTTTTAAGCCCAGTTAATGTTAACAGCATGACATCATATTTTTGGGGAAAAAAGGGCCAAAAAAACCATCTCGATACATTAATGCTGACACATGAAGTGTTTGCAGTCGGTGCATAATCTATACACCTTGCACTGACACTTGTCCTAACTATAACCTTGAGGCTCTTCTCTCATCCTCCCTCCTCTTTCTCACCTCATCCTTTTATCCCTTGCACTCTCTCCTCTGTCTCACCCCCCATCCCCCTCTCCCTTCCCTCCTCCTTTAACAGAGAGGCTGCAGAGCGGCTCCTGCGATCCGAAGCCCGGTGAGCAGAACTCCACCCTGCGGCGGGAACTCAAGCAGTTCTTCGGCTGGGTCCGCAAGCATGCGTCCGGCTGCAGCGGCATGTCAATCAAACTGTACGACCAGTGGAGGGTGTGGCTGCAGAAAACACACAAAACACGCAACAAGGTAGGTAAGCAAAACCTCTCTATTATTTACACCCACATTGAATTCATGAACTTAATTGCTGCCATGTGATCAGCAGTTTTACCAAAACAGAGAGGACTGATTTCCCCCCCCCCCCCGACACACACACACACACACACACACACACAAATAGCCACTGCTGCATTGAAGTCTTTTTTTTTTTTTAAAGAAATCTTTGAGAGTGGTATTGTCTGAAACTCCTGCTGGCTTGAGAGTCAAACCTTCGTTCTTGGTAGAGGCCATTACAATGTTTTGGGCCGGTGTAGACTTTATTTGAGATGAATTTAGAAGGGGGAGATTGAGGGGAACACGGACCACCAGCTCTACCAAGCTCTAAATCAGTCTTGAAATGGATTTCAGACCCTGCATTTCTGCCTTATGATCAACATTTTTACAAACACAGAGAGGACTGATTTCTGTTAAACGTGCTGTCTCTGTGAAGTTTCATTTCAAACCTAATGATTAGGTAGAAATGTGCGGTTTTGACTTTACAGGCCCAGAAATGGGAGGATTTAAGTAGATGCACTCTGGTTTTATTTCCTATTTTAACGAGCAACTCCTGATCTTCATCTGATGACCACAACAAAGAGAAACAAGCATGCAAATGTTTTTAATGGCCGACTGTAATGTGTTCTCTTTGTTTTCTCTCGGCGTGAGGAGCCCTTTCAACTAAACTAACTCGGGACAAATGGCACGCGGAGCCGCAGCATCTTCCGTGACTTTGTGAGGAGCTCAGATCCTTCAGCCAAATCCTCTGCTTTCAGTCCTTGAACTCACAGAAGCCCTCACTCTACCTGACTCAATTAGCTCAGCAGGTTTTTGTGCTTTGCCGGGCACACGCTGTCACCTGAATAATGTCTTTGTTCACAAACCGTGACAGCTTCCCATTGATTACCTTGAGAGAAAGGTAGCAGGGGGGGCGCTACGCCGAGAATAAGAAAGAGATGATGCAAAAAAAGAAGTGAAAAAAGAGGCAGCCAGACAGAGTAATAATCGTGATCATTGTAAATGACATGGTTTTTCCTGTTGAATTATCACACTGTGAACCATCTGCTTTTGTCTTTTCAGATTCTTCAAGACGATAATTCATAGCAGCGCCGCTCAGCACCACTGTGGAGTTTTAATACAAGAACAGCATCAAGAAACACAGAGGGATAACTCAGTGTGGGCCCCCAGCTGAGTGAGGGGTCATCGGCCCCGACTGAGTGATACTGCAGTGTTTGTCAGACAGACTTAACTTCAGTTTAAAGGGCCCGAGTGGAGGATCACTGAAGTCAGACAATGCTGTCCTTTTTCTGCCATTTCCGCCGACCAAATCTGTCCGTAATTAGACATCAATTGGCGAGCCATGAAAATGTAGCAGCACAAACCTTTCATATAGTTACATTTGGATATTTCTTAACTGCAGCAAGTGTTTAAATGTATTCCTTTGAATTAAGGATCAGTTTGTGTAAAATGTTTATACTCTGGTGTAGTACACCATTTGTTTGAAGACATTTTCCTACTGTTTATATTTTTACAACTGCATATTTAAATGTTTTTTCATCTAAGTTATATTCTTGTAACGCACCAATAGTGCCTCTGAAATAATGTATGTTATGTATAACACATTAAAAAGTCAAACTTCTCTTTTTATTTAAAAAAAGAATTAATACAATTCATCAAGTAAACAAAGATGGCGACATAGGATGAGCCTCCAGGAATTATTTCACCTTATAGAGTATTTATTTACAAAAGTCCTATTCTGCTGAGGCGTGCGTTAACACAAACACATGAGCCCAGATAGAAACACACAGAGCCTGCAGCAGCCGGCAGGGTGGAGTCAGAGGATCGATACGAGCTGAGGAGTCGGAGGAGGGAAGTTGCATCCGTCAGTCGCCCCGCCCCCTGGGAGCCGCCTGTCAATCACACTCCTCAGAGTCATACTTAAAGTCCTGCATGATCTCACTCAGAGCTTCTTTGTTCTTGATGATTCTGGAAAAGAAGTATTTGTGTTAGACATTTGAGTTTGTTTTACAACCATTTACAATGTTCACACCACTTTCTGAAAAGGTCAATTTTGTCTGTACCACGTTTTAATCTGTTTAAAATGTTCTGAAATGTTATAAATAAGAACACTTTAAGAAGGGATTGTTTGTACAAGAGAAACATTTTGAGATCAGTTTGTCGATTATAACTTGGTGGGTGTATTTCTGGGGACCTTAGTGGTGCAATTTGGAAATGGGACAGAGTAGAAAATGGAAAACTAAACATTGCTCCCGCTTTACAGCAGGGGGGCATAGACACTGCACTAGACCCTCTTAACCAATCGATTCTAAAATGACCCAAAACATGCATGCACTGATCAGAAACTGTAAAAAGGATAATATTCAGGTTTATATTTGGATTTTGTGTCTGGGAGAGAAACTCCCTCTGGAGGGAACTTTGGGATGTGACCATTTACATGCACACAAACCTGCAGGAAAGGGAAAACCCAAAAAGCATAATAGCGCTTATAAAATACTTCAAGTCTTATATTCTCTCTCTGTCAAAACACACAGCTATTGAATCGGTTTGCATCATTGAAGAGCAATGCTATGTGTCTTAAAGTGTTGTTTAAAAATAGAAGACCTACGTTACTAGTGTATTATGCACATTTTCTTTTTATCTGAAAAAATTGTCCCCAAAGATTTTCAGAACAAAGTGACAGCCGTGTTTACAACCAAAGGCTGGTCTGGTGAATCAGGAGGAAGCTGTGCAGCCGAGCGGAGGCTGATAGGGAGCGAGAGGCTGGGTCAGTAGAGGCTGTCGCAGCAGAGGCTGTCGCAGCAAGCGGACGGCGGTAATGGCTGCTCTTACTCCTGCTTGATCTCCTGAATCTGTTCCTGACAGTCCTCGTCCTCGGGGTGATCCTGGGCCCGCTGCCTGGCCAGCTGCAGCTTGGCTGTCTGTTGAGAAGGCACATCAGATAAGATTTATGCAAACCATTCATCAGCGGAGGACGGAGGGGAGGCGGGGGAGGAACTCTGGGATAATAGGAGCTTTATGACATTACTGGCAGAAAGGAAGTTGAGTTAATATTATAGAAGGAGTGTAAAACTTCTTGCAAAAGTGCTACACATCACCTCTGAACGAACAGATGTGGACCGCTCAAGACTGTAGGATGCATCGAGGCATAACATTTTAACACCTCTCTGTACGGGGGGACACACACACACACACACACACACACACACACACACACACACACACACACACACACACACACACACACACACACACACACACACAACACACACACACACACACACACACACACACACACACACACACACACACACACACACACACACACACACACACACACACACACACACACACACACCACACACACACACACACACACACACACACACACACACACACACACACACACACACACACACACACACACACACACACACACACACACACACACACACACACCACACACACACACACACACACACACACACACACACACACACCCCTTTCAGAAGTAGAATGTAGTTTTCCTCCATAAGTTTATAATTTAAAAATGTAATAACCTGAGCTCAATCCTTCACATGACCTTGAGGAAACATGACTGAAGAAAGAGAGAGGGAGAATTGAAAAGTATTTTATAAGAAGTCTGCCTCCTTGTGGTGAAACAGTGGAATTACACAAAAGTAAGAGCTTGTAATAGGAGGCATTACATGATGTATATTTCAAGTGTGAAAAAAAGACATTTGTTTTGGCAGGTTAAGTGACTTTTTGAATGAGTTTGAGATTTTTTAGTAGGTTATAATTTTTAAGTGATACAGTAATATTGTTATTTATTAAAAATCTAATCCAATGAAATTACATTTAATAACATTCAACAAACTGCAAGTTGAGAAAAGTATTGCCATTATTGAAACTATTTGTACTGTCCTTTAAATGTATTTTATCTCAGAGTTGCCTCTCAACCATCTGCATGTATTTTTTGTCGTTTTTGTTGAGTGTATTTGTCAGTGTGTCTGCTGTTAAATATCTGCTATTTATTTGACCTTAACCTTATAAATGTAGGACAACAAGTTTAAATTGACAACTAATAGTGTAAGACTCTTACAGTAAGATTGGGTCCCAGTTTAAGTCAAACACCCCACAACATAGTACACATAGTATATCATTATATACTTGTTCCTTGTCTTATACACTGCTTTTTTCTGAACTCTTAATAAAGTAGAAGGGCATTTTAGGCCATTTCTATGTGTGAAGAATAATGGGCAAACCCTTCAACTATTAAAATCCAGCCATCAGTTTTTCCATAACCATGACAGACAAACACAACATACAGAAAACTTCACAGAGGTTATTAATATATTGAGTTTACAAACCATTTCAAGTTTCTGCTTCTCTTTGCTCTGCAGCTTGTCCATGTGCTCAGAGAGGGCCGGCCGGTCGAACTCGTTGTGGAGCTTCTCCTTAATGTCCAGCACTTCTTTGGAGATGCCGTTGAAGGCCAGAGTGATCTCATGCACCAGCTGCCTGTAGTGGTCGAAGTCATAATGAGGCCCCGTCCTCAAGTAGGCCTCGTGTCCTCTGGAAGGCAGGAAAAAAACATTAAAGGTCTCCTATTATACTCTTTTTCATCAATATATTATAGGTCTCAAATATATACAAACATGTCTCTGAAGTGTTTGGCTCCAAATACCAAACAGGTCATTGCAGCATCCCATAATCCCCTCTGTTTCAGCCCTGTTTCAAAAGTGCTGATTCTCTGTCTGTTACTTTAGATGAAAATAAGGATCCACTCCCCACGCCCCTCTGAGAGATATTTGGTTAAAAAGAACACAATGGTGCTCTAGGAGGAGATTCAGGTGATAAGGTGGGGGGGGGTTACCTTGGTTGGTGATTGGCTAATGGTTACACAAGACAACAAATCGTTATGACATCATAAAGTGGCCAAAATCTGATCAGCTCATTTTCAGACAGGTTTTTATATAAATGGATCAGGACAAAAAGAGAGAGAATCTTTTTTCCTGAAACTTTCAGAATCTCTTTACACAGAGGGGACACATGGTGATGGATAAGAGACATAACGTGGATTTTGCACAATAGGTGACCTTTAAATAAAAAAGCAGAGATGAATGAAGTGTAGAATTCATTTTTGTTTTATGTGCCTGAAATCTATGATAATAGTGGGTCAGATTCAAACGTACTCGTCAAAGAGCTGATACGTCTCCACCCGCTCCGACTGAAGCTGGTAAAACCTCTGGATCAGGGCTTTAAAGTCTGTAGGGACCTACAGGGAGGAAGGCATGAGGAAGAGAGTTCAAATAACATGTAGAGAGAATACCCAGGATATTAATACATGCAAGCAGGTTATCATGATTTAGTTTTCTCTTAAATCAATTTTAAGTATTATATAAAATATAGTTAAGCTATAAAGGTTTGCAACTACTTGAATCAATATTATTGTGCATTTTTTTCTATTTATTTGTTTAATTGCAAGAACAAAAGACAGTTATTAGACAGACAAAACGAAAGATGGTAAAACAAAGAAATGTGTTAGGGAACAATTAATCAAGGAGACTAAAAGAGTAAATGAGAGCTTAATAATAATAATAATAATAAACTTAATTTGTACAGCACCTTTGAAAAACACTGCTTTACGATAACACATTACTGAAGCAGAAACATGCACAATACAAAACAATAAGATGTTACAATAAATACCCTGTAGTAAAGAAAAAAAAATAGGAGATAACAGTGGGTTTGCAAGGGCCATGAAAAAACGAAATAATATTACAAATGATATAAAGAAACAAGTGTACATTCAATCAATACTAATACTGTACTTCCTGTATGCTAATATTCACCATCGACCATCCTATTCATATTTCTAATAATTAATGAAAACATGTAGACATAATCATTTAAAGTAAATTATTAAAGTATAATTATAAAGTCAGGGGGAATTAATAATGACTTAACTACGAGTCGTCCTTTGAACAGTTATAGCTCTCAAAAAATGTGATTTCTTTCTTAAAGATGGGCCTAAATTGTATTACTAGATCTTAGGTTATATTTTTGATATCATTTGGAATAACGTTACAGTGTTTTAGAAGTGAGTGTTTTGTAATTAATGTGTATAAAGAGGTTTTGTTATATGATGTCTGCTTCAGCTACACTAGCCAAGTTACCATTAGCTCTGATTAGCTTAGCACATGTGTGTAACTTTTGAGGCTCACAAACGTGTATCTGTTGTATAAAATATGAAATACTCACCATGGTAAGCTGTCGGAAAGTACTGTCTCTGAGTTCCAACAGTTTATTATATTGACATGTTTATATTTAATAAAAACGGGACGATGTTGTACTTCTGTGTGTGATTCAGCAGCCTGTATATGCACTGCCTCCCGGATATGACGACACTGCGCGGTGTAGAGTTCAATTTCAAAATAAAAGTTTTCATATGACAACGGCTCCTGTAGAGTTTGTTTGCAAGAGAAAATCTGTTTTAGTTACGTCACTTGATATTTAAACTTTGAGGGGGAATTATGTTGAACCAATGTGCTCTTCCTGTTGCAGTTTTTCTCCATTAACCTAGAGCAAAAGCATCAAGGTCACAACAAAAACACTGTATTCACATAGGCATTAAGAGTGCAGTGTTATTATAGAAAACATATAGAAAATATGTCTATTTATAGATTTAAAGATCATTGTTTTTTCAATTTATTTACTTCTTTAAATGTGAATTATTTATCTCATTTACACTGATTTGGTTGTAGCAACTCATACATTAAAATTAGTGGGCTATGGCTCTAAACAAGATCATGTATTATTTAGCAGCTGTTTTGAGACTTTCACTGTCTTGAGCTTTCCTTACTCATTCCCCCCTTATGACAGAATGAAGGATTAGTCCTTAAAATCCCTATGTAGCCGGTGTATTGTTTTGGCCAGACTATGACGGTTTTATTTTGAAAGGGGTCAAAAAGCCTCTTGCAGCTGACTGCCATCAACCAATCAGTTTCTCTATCAGAAACCCGATCTCTTTCTAGGGTTTATTCTCAAAATACATTAACAATAAGAGATGTATTTACAATAATATGTCAAATAAGCACAACAAAAGGTCTAACGATGACAACAATCATGTCTTAAATGAATCAAACACTACCTGTTGCTCCTTATCCTGCATCCCTATTAAAACAAAATCACATCCATTGTCAGCTTATCCGGGCTTTGTGTACTTTGTGTTTACAAGATTGGAAAGCATTATGGCAGTATGGAGGCAAGGGGTCGCAGAGATACTACTGTGCAGACACTCCTACGCCTACAGTCTCCCTCTGCGCTGATTGGTCTATTCAGCATCTTCAGCACCACGCAGGCTGGACAGCGACACATAGCCGTGCAGCTTCCACCGAACAAGGATGCCGAACGAGAGGCATATACGGTTACTATGACACTGTTCATCTGATATTTTTACAGCCATAATGTCATTGTTTCACCGTCTGTAACAATGTTTTGACAGCCGGTTTATGTGCACCTCATTGTCCCTCGCGTTTTGATCGGGAACGACCCGCCTGTGTCGTCTAACTCTGCAAGAGGAAGCTGTTTTTTCCACCTCACAGATGCTCGGACTCCCAGATTGAGTTCGTTTCACCGGGTTTCCCTCCCGTCGAGTCGACAGGCATGACGGACAGTAACGCCGCTGCTCATGTTATAGGCAGCAGCAGCATCTCATGCACAGTGCCGCATCAACAACCCGACCACCGGGTCCCCCTGCCGGCGCCCCGGTGTCCGCCGGTCCCCCAACGCCTGTTGTGACATGACAGCTCGGGGCAGGAAGAAGAGGATCAAAGGTTACTGGCAGGGGTTCAAGCAGGAGCGAAGACGGGTCGGATCCTCGAGGAGAGCAGAAGCAGACAGTTTAAAAGGAGGGGATACAATCATACATGTGTCAAAATCCACTCCATTAGGGTGTTTCTCTTGCGGCTCCAGAGGGGTCAGAACACCGGGTTTAACCACGGAGCAGCGCCCCTGGAGCCCGTTGATGTGCCCAAACATCAGCAAGGCACAGGGGCATTGAACCCACCTCCCTGAAGCCTTTCTGATTCGGGCCTACAGTGAGGTAGTAGTAGCACCCACCTTTGCCTTACAGTTTCATCTGATGCACGGCCTCATAGTGCTGATCCTGGTCGAGTCCCAGACTGCAGCGCGGTTCCCCATCAGGCCCGGCCGGCTCACCTGGCTGCTCCTGACCCTCACCTTCACCTGTACCGCCATGGGCTGCATCCAGAGCATCGCCTGTAACAAGTCTCGCATCAAACGGGAGAACATCGTGGTGTACGACCTGTCCGCCACCATAGACCACTGCCCGACTGTCATCGAGGAGAACTCACCCATAGTGCTCCGGTACAAGACGCCCTATTTCAAAGCCTCCGCGAGGATTGTGATGCCCCCCATTCCGCGCAATGAGACATGGGTGGTGGGCTGGATCCAGGCGTGCACACAGATGGAGTTTTACAACACCTATGGAGACGTTGGCATGTGAGTTTACACTTGTATCACCTATGTGCCAATTGCATCCCTGTGACGTGTTTTCAGAGTTTGGTATGCATGCTTGTACACTGTGTATCTTTACACGCTGAATTGCATTAGAGGAGCATTTGCAGAGGACGAGAAAGTACTCAGATCTTGTACCTGTAGTAAAAGTACAAGTACCAGAGTGTCTGCTACAATTTAGTCGTGCAATCAAAATGTTGCTTAAGTAAAAGTACAAAATTATAAGCATCAAAATATACTTGGAGTACCATAAGTAAAAGTACTCATTATGCAGATGTATCCATTTCAGAATAATATATATTATATGTTTTTATTATAATTATTGATACATTAATGTGTTTATCAAAGCTGGTAAAAGTAGAGCTAATTTTAATCACTTTGTATACTGCAGGGTATCTTGTGAATGTAACTCTAGATGTAACTAAAGTATTTTAAGTGTTAATATTTCACATTATTAATCCAAATGAGCGAAGTAACTAAAGGCATTAAATACATGTAGTAGTGTACACGATTTACCTCTAAATTGTAGAGGGGTGGAAGTACAACGTAGCAACAAATTGAAATACTCAAGTAAAATACAAGTCCCTCAGAATTGTACAGTACTTGAGTAAATCTACTTAGTTACTTTACACCACTGAGCATTTGTGCACCCAGCAGGTTAACTCTGCTTGTCAGCCTCCTTCATTCAAACGCCCACCGACAGATTCTGTTCCTGTGACTCTGGCACCTAAATATAAAAGCTGCTATTAGAGAAGCTAAACAACGTTGATGCTCACACACACACACTCAAACTGTGCCCATGGAGACATGTCCTCCCCCACACCCCAACGACACACACACACACACATTATCTGGAGGGCATATGTGAGGGGGTGTTTAATCCCGCTGCGTTGGTGGGTTTAGGGGTGAGAGATTGAGCTTTAGGTTGGTTTTAGGATTGGTCATGAAAGGGGAGCACCAGATGACAGATAGAGTTTGGCACAACAAAGAGATGATGATAATCCACTGACACACTGAACCACTAGATAGCATTTAGAGGAGGCTACTGCAAGCCTGTGTCTGGAAAATCATTTGAAAGCCTTTCTGAAATGATGGTGTTACTTCCATTACATCCCTTGTAAATGAAAATGAACAACTTTCACCTCAGACACATCCCAGAAAGCCTTGTGCACAAGCGAAGAAGAGCAACCTCAACACAAAATAGTGTTGCTGCTATCGCTTCCAGATTGACTTGCTCATGTTTCCTGCTGTCACACCAATGATTATTTTATTCATCTAGTTTTCTATCAAGGATTATGTCAAAGTATACTGTCAAAAATTGGTAAAAATAACTTTTAAAATGTCTGATAGCCTATGATAACATCCTTATAATGCATGATTTGGCAATACAAGAGCCCTTAACCCAAAGAAGCATTACATTTTCCAACATACCATACATTACAGATGCTGGACCCTTGGTGTTTTAGCCGGATAATACCAAATAATGAATAGTATAACTGTTAATGCAGTAGTATAACCTTGCTGCAGTGATGCAAGGCAACGAAAGGCAAGTCTATACCACCTTTAAAACAACATGCAATTCAAATTGCTTTACAAAAAACATTAGAAGCATTAAGACATAGTGCAAAAGAAACACATGAAACAATTACATTTAAAATAAGTGGGCCCTATTAGGCTTTTTTTTTTTTTCTGTAGTGTGTTATATAGGTTTCCGTGCATGTAAATGGTCTGCAAATCTCCCACATACTCCCCCCTGCCTTAAACGCCTCCATTGGACTCTTTTGTTTACTGCTTTAACATGGTGACATAGTGATATTGTGTTGCAGCTCACTGTACCTGCAGTTGTCTCATGTAGAACTGCTCCACTGTGCTTTACACAATATCAGGTTTAAGCAACACAGACACTAATTACAGATTAGAATCAATTGCCCAGAAACACAGTTACCCAGAAACCTCTCTGTTTGTCTCCTCTCAGGTCGAGCTGGGAGCTTCCTCAGCTGCGAGAGGGTCTGGTGAGGGCCATCAGCGACTCTGACGGCGTGAGCTACCCCTGGTACGGAAACACAACGGAGACGGTCACCATTGTGGGCCCCACCTCCAAGCCATCCCGCTTCATCGTTAGCATGAATGACAATTTTTACCCCAGCGTCACCTGGGCTGTGCCGGTCAGTGAATCCAACACGCCCTTACTGACTAACATCAAAAGAGACCAGAGCTTCACCACATGGCTGGTGGCGCTCAACACCACGTCCAGAGAGAAGATCCTGCTCCACAGCATCAAGTGGAGGATGAGGGTGGACATCGCGGTGGACCCCTGCCTGCCTCTGGGCTGCAGGGCCAGGCTGGTGGGCCGCGTGCACCAAGACCAGCCGAGGGTGCTGAACCGCATGGAGCCCATCCCACCGAACGCCATGGGGAGGCCCAACGCCAACGACGCCCAGGTTCTGATGTGGAGGCCGAGGAGAGGGCCTCCGCTGGTTGTTATACCATCCAAGTAGATCCTGGAGAGCATCTGATTGGTTCGTTGTTCGTTACATCAGATCATAGGGGAGTGAAATGGCTAACAGGATAATCAGAAAAAAATAGATAAAACAGACAAAATGAAGATCTATAAGAAGGCTGAAACTTTGAAGTTGCAGTTTTTTTTGCGTGTAATATATCGAGGGGACAACTGCCTTAATTCCCCACCGCTGCCTTTGACGATCCAGAAAGTATTTGGTCTCCACTTCTGGTGCTGTTTGGTAATCAAACCCAGAACAACTGAGCAAAGCTAACTTTGAAAATCCGTCATTAATGCTGGGATGTAACGCAAAACCTGTCCAGTAGCTACTCAGGCCCAGAAAGAAACACAGACCCCGTCTAAAAAGGTTCATCTTAATGATGGCATAATGCGGGCCTGCTCTGTACTGTACAGTAAAGTGCTGAAGGGAAGGTGATAGCGGTGATACATTGCTGCCGGTATTCATCACGGACAGAGAAAACTAAAATATCACCCGAGATGTAACGGGATGATGTGCTTTCAGAGATGGTGTGAGTGTGGATGTGCCGGCGTGTGTGTTTGTTGTCGTGTTTTCTATTATGGAGACCCAGGGTTGGGTCCAGGCTTGCTGCTTTGTCACACCAGACTGCCTCACTCATTCACACACATACACACACACACACATACACACACACACACACCACATTGACAGAAAATTCATTTTGAGAATAGATAAAGCTTTAAAATAATTTTTCACGAAACAATTGTAGAAAATATGGTTCTCAGCCCATCAAATATAGAGATTCCCTTATTATTTATAATTACATAATATTTAACTAAGTATATTTGTGTTATTGACTGACAAAACAAAATATTTAAAAAAATGGCCTTATAGTTGGAGAATCTGTGATCCTTATATAGACATGTTCCACTATTTGCAGACATTTTATAGAACAAATGGTTAACTTGTAGATGAATTGCTGATTAAAATAAACCATGTTAGTTGCAGCCCAAACACACACACATACTCACACGCACACACACACAAGGGGCCTCATTTGTGATAATGCTACAGGTATGGCCATATTTCAAGATGATTAAAAAAACTAAAGATTGTCAACACACATCCTCAGAGCTACTTTTCTTTTCACATATCACAGAAAATGTAGAAATCGCAGCTTTTGGATTTCGATGACATGCACACGAGCTGTGCATTGAGAGGAATCTTAAATTAAGCCCTGCAGCAGGATTTTATGTTTTTCAATCACGAATGGCCAGTTCATCCAAGCTGCAGAGCTCCCCCTCCCTGCCTTCTGAAAGCCAGTGATGCCTGTGTTGATGACAGCCTTCTACAGTAAAACATCCTCTTTCCCATGTCCCAACTAATCAGATTTAAGGAGAAGAAGCCAGGAGTAGTACAAATGAGTGGCTGCAAGAGGGCAAACAAAGCTACTCCTACGTCTTAAGCCAGTCAGTATTTCTTGTTTAAAAGCAAATATTACAGTCAACTGTATTTACACTAATTAAAGAATAAGGTAATTTGAATTACACAATTACAGGTTATTGGGATTTTTTAGTTTTAGTTTTTAAATATCTGTCAGTGAGATGTGTGGCTCCCCAACCAATTCAATTCAGTTTTCTTTAGTGATCACAGCTTTGGACAAACTGGATCTAATCAAGTCCACAGCCATGCTATCATCTCCTTTGAGGCTGTAGTTAAATTCTAACATGGCAATGCTTACATGCTAATTAGAAAGTATGTTTACCATTCTCCAAGTCCACCAAGTTCAGCTGAGTTTGATGGGATATCTCGGCCTTAATGTAAAGTATAAGAAGAATTTGATTTGGGATTTTTGAGCTAGTACAAACATTTGGTTAATCACCAAAGTTATCACAATTCATCCTCTGGGAAATGATTATCTCACTGCCCATATAGTCTTAAGCCTTGGAATCATTTTAACATTTAAGGTGCATAGAAATCCAATCCCCAGTACAGTCGTCTTGAATTAGCTATGGAGACCGAAAGTGTTCTTTTTTTACCTGTTTTACCTTAAGTGGCCATACGATAAACTCATTTGCATTTTTTGGCACTTCCAGATTGGCTATATTTTCCTCCTCGAGGTAGCCAGTTAAACAATCCACAGACTTTGCGTTCATAGGAACTAATTCTTCAGGACAACAGTTTTGATACCGATATTGATTTCTGTAATGGAATTTGTCTAAGTCTTGGACACAAAAAGTGACAAACCATTCATCCCCATTGGATTGAGTAAAGGCAGAAATCCCAGTGACAGATATCTAAGAATCTGAAAAGAAATTCACTTTCTACTTGGCTCGATACTGACAGGAGTAAGATATATGTGTTTTTTATTGCAATTTGGGTGAAGAGACTCTTTAAAGATTGTGCAGTGTTTGGTTTGACATACATCTTCTTGTGCCATTATGATCTTTTCTAAAAAAGTGTTTTATGAAGATTCATGCCTAGGTCTTTACTTTGTATTTGAGTTTGTACACACTCAGCGAGCCGGTGAATCAGGTCAAGCTGAAGTGCTGAGCTGGTCCCGATTAGACAGAGATGAAGAGAGAAGGACGATGTAACCATAACATTTTACCCATGCTGCTGCTGCTGCTTTTCACTCCTGCTGCAAACCGAACGAGCCTTCACACACATACTCAACAACATGCCTATTGTAGCCACGACACAGGAGCAGTTAGCGAGCCCATGTAGACAATCAAGGGAAACATCTAGAGCAGCACCTTGAACTGGAGAATCAAAAGTAGGTTTGTGACTATCAGAGGATTGAGGCTTTTATAGGGGGAAATAAAGCGGAAACCTTTTTCACATGTTGCCCCAATTAGAATAAAATGTTAGTGAAAATACATTTATACTTGACCATGAGGCCACACAGTGTGCTGTCTGTGTGTATCAGGGCCTCGAGTGTCTTTGAACAGATGTGCCTGAGGACTGAGCGGTGTTTGTTCTGCGTATTGACTGGAGTCTAATGAAGGTATTGGTGTAAAATGGCTGGGTAATGGTGTTTTAATAAGAAGGACATGAAACTCTGCCGTGTTACAGTCCTTTCTCTCAGACTGTCTGGCTTTTGCATGCAGTGTTTTTCAAACTCATTAAAACAAATGCCAAAAATATCAAAGTGTGAATTTATTCATGTCATGTAGTTTCGCAGTTCTGAGGCGACGTGCCAAGTATTAAATTAGACAAGGTAGACTTGTGATTGTGGGAGAAAAATTATCTGCAATCAGGTGGACAAGTATGCTAAAAGGCTCTGTGATACATTGAATATAAAGGATATTGTGTTACTGCAGTGCATGGCAGAATTTAAAGGGGACCTATCATGCAAAATGCACTTTTTGATGTCTTTTATACATAAATATTTGTCCCCGGTGTCGGGGAACTCACGCAGCGTCAGAAAATAAAACCCTTTCTCTTTTCCTCCGTACCCAAATCTTTTAAAAACGGGGGTACAACGAGCGGATACAGATTTGCTGCCGATATGACGTCAAATCGGCGGCGGACCCACAGAAAGTTGCTATCAGAAACAATGCCTGACGTGTTTTGGACATAATCTCGTCTTTGTTTACATTAGCAAGCCTCGCTAACACTCAGAGCTAACCTGTACTGGAGAGCACATGTGTTTAAAAAGCAGGAAATAAAAAAACGAACTCACCTTGTGATAAACCCGCAAGAGAAAAAGCATTTGAGCTCCATACTGTTTCAGAAATAATCTTTGGTGTGGTTTAGAACAGGATGGCGTTTTATCACAGCAGAATTTAACTTTATCTCCGGTAGAATTCTGATCAGGCATTAGCCTTTTTTTTTTTTCTCAAGCTAAGGACCCAAAATCCGCGTTTCTCTAATGGCGCATTTCCACTACAGCGCGGAGCTCGCTTTAAGCGTGCCGTGTCGTGCCGTGCCCGTTTTTGGTTGCGCTTCCACTAGGCCTAGTTACGGCCCGGCCCGGCCCGGGGCCACTTTTTCACCTCTTTTCTGGCCCGACAAAATTGTGGTTCTATCGGGGCCAACAAACAGGGCTGAGTCGGGCTGAGTATGCTAAACTAGAGAGAGGATCGCTGGCAAGGGGGCTACAACTACAACACTACTTGTGTTTTGAGCGTCTTGCAGCACTTTAAGTAAACGCTGCGGGTGTTTAGCCAGTTTGTTGAATATTTTCTAAACGCTGTGCACGTGTTGTCAAGTGGGTCAAGACGTTTCTTCATTTGCATGTGTTCTGTCACATTTGGTTTTTTCGTTGCAGCGCGTTTGCCCCCGTAGATCACCGTATGTTTCAGTGCAGATACACAGTGAATTCAACACAATAACACAGTCAGAAAAGTTCAATTAAACATATTTTTCTTTTATAAAAGATTCAAAGAATAGTAATTCAAATAATAAACTTATTAATTATACCCGCTTTATCAAGAAAAGAAATCATTCCAAAAGAATGATAAATAATGCCTCATGTCTGAGGTCAGTTTTGATTACTTTGCAACAACAATTAACAATATACATATCTTTTTCGGAGCACAGGACTTAAAGAGCTGGATGTTTATAATTAGTGGCTTTGAAATGTCATGTAACTTTCTAATTAATCATTCATAAATTAAACAGACAATTCATTTAGATTACAATTGAAATGGTGCTGATTATTAACGCCCATGATTAACATAATCTCAAATTGTACATACAAATCAAACTGTCCTTCTTACTTAAAGAAAATCTAAATCTTCCAACCATAACCCCTGTTACAGTATTTCTGATTAGTTTCTGTATCATTTTATTCATACACCCAGATGACTTTAATAGAATAAACTGCACCACAGCAGACAGTAACTCTGTCACCGTACATGCTATCAAAGACGTCCTGAAGACTATATGTTCCCTGGCAACAAAAACTGTTTCCAAAAATAGCTGAACAAAATGCACCATGGGAGACACGATTTAGGAAACAATACTAGTTATGGTCACTGAAACTACCACAGCCTAAAGGTGCGTTGAGCGTT